GCCGTGGAGCAGAAGTGTGGGGGCCTTGTTCTTCAAGAAAGGCGATAATGCTCTCTTGAAGAACTACATACTAATTTCCCTTCTTAGTCGCGTCTACGTGCTGTTTTTGAGAGTCATTATGAATCGTGTCATACGCAGACTCGACGATTTCCAGTCTCCGAAAACATACCGGTTTCGGAAAAGGCTTTAGCCCCATGGACCACATACATACCCTTCGGCAAATTGTACAGAAGACTAAGGAGTACAATCTGCCACTATGTCTTGCGTGTGTCGGCTACGGGAAAGCTTTTTGAAATTTGGGCGGTGCTGCAGTCCCTCAGCGTTGCCAAGTTGACTGTCGGTATATATCGATGTGCTGAAGTGTTTGTACATTTGGGATATGATGGCTATCTGAGTACAGAACCAGAGTACGAAACCTATCCAATTGCAGAGAGGTGTAAGATAGGGTGACGTTATATCCCCGAAACTCTTCACCGCTGCATTGGAAAACGTTTTCAAGCTACTGAACTGTAAAGGACACGGTATTAACATTAATGGCGAGTACATCACTCACCTTCGATTTACCGACGATATTGTCCTTCTGGCAATAGTGCTTCCTAACGGATAGGTCTAAAGATGAACATGGACAAAACAAATACATGTGTAACTTCCATATCACAACTATGCTGGTAGTTGTTGGGAGCACTAAACTCCGATGGGGAACAAAGGTTCTCGAGTGGCAGCCTCATACCGGTAGGCGTAGTGTAGAACGAAACCACTAGATAGAGTAATGACTTGGTAAGACATGCAGGAAGTTGATGGAAGCAGATGACTCAGGACCGTGCTTTTTGGCATTCCTTAGGGGAGGCCCTTGTTCAGCAGTGGACTTGTGAAGTGCTGTAATGATGATGATAATCATGCTGTTATTTATTAAATGAGCGCTCTAAGTACATAGTTGCGATTCAAAATCATGCTTAATAGATTGAGTTATCTCAACAAGATCTTGAGTAGAAATGTAAATACTATATGACCTGTTCGTCTGGCATTTAGTTTAGTCCCGTTCGATGTCGCTGCCGGCTACGTGACGTCGGCTTCTTCGTTGTAGGCTCCTACTGCGTCGATCTCTGCTATGCCCGCTGTAAACTAACGGTAACCCAGAATAAAATCTGGGTGTCCGTTGCTTACTGCAGTTGTGAGATCGATATTGATCACGTTCCTGATGTAGTTCGTGCTCTAATTCCTGAATTCAGTCTAAACCATGGCTCCTCTTGAAGTCGCGCCTTAGCCGGCTACCACTTCGGGTTTCACTGTGACTGCTTAATTTCGCTTAGTTTTTTACATGATAGAGCCACGCTGCAGCTATATTATGGTTGTAGCACGTCGGCTCGACCGGGGTAGGACCACGCTCTCACAGAATACCAGCGTAAAATAGCAGCTTAATGTTGGTGTGTTTCGTATGGTGAGTATAGAGAACCAGAGACCCTTTTTACTGGAAACGAGGCATTCCATCTTAGGCCTCAGGGATGACAACGCATTTGCATTTTGAGTCTTAATCAAGGATAAATGTAGATATGGGCCACAGCATTCACTTACACTCAGGTGGACTTTGTGCTCGTTTGTCACCCTTATTCTATAAAAAAAAACCTGCTCTCGGTGGACTCCGAGTAGGCGTTATGAGTTTAGGTCGATTGAGATTTTCATCCATGTTCTGAATCTTGAGAACCTACCTGGCACTTACTATACAAAGAGGCCCAATAATATTATACAGTACTGGACCCTAGTAAGAAGGACACGGATTTAGCGTAAGTAAAATATGGTGGATAGAATATATGTCGCAACCACTGGCTAGGGGAAATAATACAGACAAATTGATGTGGGAAATGCCTGTTCAAACAGATATTACAATAACGCACAATAGGGCAGATATAATTTTCATCATCATTATCATTACAGCCCTTCACAGGTCCACTGCTGAACATAGGCCTCCCCCAAAGAATGCCACAAAGCACGGTCCTGAGCCACCTGCATCCATCGACTTCCTGCATATCTTACCAGGTCGTAACTCCATCTAGTGGGGGACGCCCTACACTTCGCCTGCCGGTACAAGGCTGCCACTCGAGAACCTTTTTTCCCCATCGGTTGTCGGTTCTTCGAGCTATATGGCCGGCCCATTGCCACTTCAGCTTACTAATCCGTTGGGCTATGTCGGTCACTCTGGTTCTACTGCGGATATCCTCATTTCTGAGTTTATCACGCAGAGAAACTCCGACCATAGCCCTCTCCATAGCTCGCTGAGCGATAATTTATAGATAGAGATATAATTTATAAAATTAAAATTGAAAATAAAACTTATCTTATCGATATTACCGTACCATCAGATTACAATATAGGAGTGAAGGAAATAGAGAAACTTAGCAAATACCATGCACTAAGAACTGCAATAACGCGGTTTTGGAAAACACCTATTGAAGTCATACCTATAGTAGTTGGTGCCACAGGCATAATCGCTAAAAACCTACACAAATACTGCAACAAATTAGACTCCCATATCAACATAAATGTTATACAGAAACAAGCAACAATTCATTCAGTAACAATATTGTCAAAAGTTTTAGGTAATTCTATATTTGTTGATCAGGACTCTGGTCTCTCCCGAAGGTTCATGGGCGGGGCTTGAAGAATACCGGATTTATCTTGAGAAGACAACCAAGAGAAAAGAAAATAATGTTGAATTATCATATATAAATGACGGCTCCGTGGCGCAGTGGCTTAGCAATGAGTTGTTGCGCTGGGGGCCGCGGGCTTGAATTCCGCACGGATCAAGTATTTGTATGGCCTACAAATAATTTTTCTGGGTCTGGATGTTTGTCCTCGTGCAATTCATGTTTGTAAACTGCCTCCACGATACATGAGAAAATCCTAGTGTGGGGGTAACGTTTTAAAACAAAAAAGATATATACATATGTACACAAAAAAGTAAAGAAAGTATATGAACATCCCGGCGAAAGTGAATCCACTTGAGTTGATTTTGAAATTGGGATGCATGGTCATATTTCCGTAAAGCAAATATGAACTGAATGGTTAAGATGTGCAAAATTCAGAAATAATTGCAAGCTCTCGATTTGTGCATAGCTGGGCATATAGAAGATTTTCAATACTTTTTCGAGATTATATTTGGAGATCGTATGCATAAAGATGCTAGAGAGAAGATTTATAAAGTGATTGAGCGTATTAAAATTGAGAAAAGGGGAGTAGAAAACACCCCACTCTGTGGTACGCCCGCATCCAGAGAACACCACGCGGAATAAGTGTCTAAATGAAATTAAAAGAATTTATCATATAGGTTACACAAAACATTTTTTGTGAATTAACTATTTGTTATATATTTGTAAGGGTAAGCCAGTTAACATCTACGAAATTAATAGAGTGAAATCGAACAGTAGGCCTTCCACGGTAATAATTTGCAAGAAAATGTTTCAACATAACTTTCCAAAAACTAAATCGTAGCTAAGTAAATTTTCTATAATGGATGTATAACATTTATTTTTTTGTAAGGACGGAATGCATGATAATTACAAAAGTAACCATTTTTTATTTTGATCATCATTTACGCGAATATTTGACATCACTTTAGTTTTAATTGTCAACGTCGTCCAGGAGGCATCGGCGTCGGCATCGAAGTTTTTTTATTCTCGCTTAAGGATATTATTAACTATTGTCTAAAGAATATAAGGAAAATATTTTTTTTATATTTAATTCTTTTCCTTTATTTATTTTTAATGGCTCAAAATTATACGAATTTGGGATTTTTCAAACCTTTAAAAATTCATAACTCCGAAAATATTAACTTTATCGTAAAAAGCCATACCTTTTTTTATTAATATTTTATCAAAAAATAAAAAATTCCCGTTTGAAAAATCGGCTTAAGCAATATGGCACCAAGATGCCCCATGCAACACGCATTTATATCATCAGTAGGACAATTTGAAGAGCCGCATAAAAAATTGAGGTGGAAGAGTTTGCGGTGCTCAAGTGCCGATTCCTCTTGGGCTAACGATGCAGCTTGTACCAATTTTATTTGTCTATCTCTGTCTGAGGGTGGGTACTTCAAGGATAAAATTAAAATATATTTCGATAGCTAAAATCTTACGGTAATAAAACAAATGTATAAGTATAATAATAATAATAATTTATAGACAAACAAAGAAAAGTTACACAAATCATTTACAATTTGTTTACTTTTGGTACAGAATACGAAATGTGTTTAATTTTAAAGTATAAGTTAATGTTTGGGCGTATACTTACGTAGATATGTGCTGATCTTTCCACATCTGAACTGTAGGCTTTTCTTTAATTCGGGATGCAAGATTGAAACGCAGATCACTTTTTTAATACTTTAATACTAGTTTATATTATAATACTACTCTCACAAAATTCTATCAGACAAGTAACTTCTACCAATGCTCTTCCGAGACTCACTAGTTTCCCTGTGTCATTTCCAGCCATTCTTATATACTCTCCGTTAACCAGTATTGCCAATATCATTTTTAAACTTACAAAAACTCCTCATTAACTTAACAAAACGTTACAGAAGTCACATTAAAGGCCTTAGGTACTAATACTAATTAATAATGTGAAATCCTTCGCAATCTTCATCCCGTAAGTATCATTAAAGTTAATTCAAAGAAACACTATGAAATCATGGCATCAAGTTGAAGTTATTACATTTGAATGAAATTTATTTGAAAATTTTCACAAAAATTTGTTATATACACGTAATTTTGCAAAAAACTTGAAGATATAGTGATATTTTTATACATGCTTCACTTAAAAAAAAATAAAGCTAAGAACCTACTCTTTATTAGAGAGAAATTTGTAAAGAGTTAGCAATGTCAAATGCTTCTCAAAATTGATGAATAATATTAAAAAAATAATAAATATTTTAATTTATACATATTTTAAGTTACACTTTGAAAAAGAAAATTTATGGAAGAATTTTAAATTAAATATTTTGAAAGGCTCTAATCAAACTCAAGTTTTCTGAAGGAACCCTCTACTCCAAAAATATCTTCGGCAGTTTGAGGTTTTCCAGGTCGTTTAGATTCATCGGTTCCATATTGCCGATCTTCGTCTAGCCATGCTTTGTACTCTAATATTTTCTTTTTGGACATATCTATAAAAATAAAGATTATTTTTATGAACCAGATCCTTCTTTCGTTGATAAATAATAATTAAAACAATTGTAATGAAATATAATTTATATAATACAATAATAACATTGTTGTTATGATAGTAGTTATTTATTTATTTTAATATTTTAAATGCAATATAATTTATAATTAGTTACTTAATTATGTTATACTTATTTGTAAGTATATATATATATATATATATATATATATATATATATACTTACAAATATATATCTAAAAACAGACAATAATACTACAAAAGTATCCGACATCAATAATTCAAATCTTAGATATGAATAAGGTGTACTTAAGCTACAAGCTTATTTTATTTTTGAAAAGAAAAGCTTGACTAAGAATAAATTGTTAATTTTTTTCTATTTTAGAGTGACTTTATTGTAAATCCATATTAAACAAAAACCTGCATCACACGGAGTAGAAGTGAAACTATCAAATGAAATTAAATATAAAATTAAAATATTTCGACAAATTATTTATTTAACATAATAACTTTAACCAAAATTGCAACATTAAAATATAAGATAAAGTTTATTTTTATAGCAAATAAAAGTTACAGTCCTTACTTTTAGACACATTGAGCCTAAATTTTAGCATAATAAATCAAAAGAATATTTTCTTCTGAGTAAAATTGCTTTGTAATAGCGCCATCTACTTTAATTTATAGGTAAAGTCATCTAATCGATTGCCTTTCAAGGTGTTAAGTAAAATAGACAATAGAGGACCTAAACGCGATCATTTTAATATGATATTCATTCATTCTTTTGCAGGCTTTTCACGTTGTAGAGCCATGCTATAGCTATATTATTGGTATAGTTGTAGCACGAATAGGTCGGCTCGACCAGGGAAGGACCACGCTCTCACAGAATACCAGCGTAAAATAGCAGCTTAACGCTGCTGTGTTTCGTATGGTGAGTGTAAAGAACCGGAGACCCTTTTTACTGGAAATGAGGCACTCCATCTTAGTCCTCATGGGTGACAACGCATCTGCATTTTGATTCGTAATTGAGGATAGATGTAGATGTCTATGGGCCACAGCAACCACTTACCATCAGGTGGACTGTGTGCTAGTTTGTCACCCATATCCTATAAAAAAATCCTATAAATGCATATGTTTATTTTTCGATTTATCGAGATGCAAATCACAACGATTCTAAACTTTTCCTGCTCGCAAAAACGTATTTGCGTAGATGTAGCATTACATTAAAATTAATTTCTTTAAATTGTTGGCTTGCTAAAGTAATAAAAAATGTCTATAAACATTTTCTTGTCTTTAAATATCAATCGATTAGGAAGTTCTTTCATCACGATTTTGATCAAAGAATATTAATAATTGCTATTATTATACATACCTATAAGTTCTTGAATACTCCCACCGTTTCCACCATATTCAGCGGGCAGTATTTCCTTAGGCACAAATTTGTACAAAGATTCGAAATCTGTGTTATGCACGTATAACTGCAAAATAATTAATTACTTATAAATAAATAAAACAAATTGGTTAACTTCAAAATCAACCAGTTTAATATTATACAAACCCTCTTTTTATTTTTCTCATTGAGGAAATTTTTCATAAAATTAAAAATAGTTTCAAAAAACGAAGGCGTATTCACATAATGAGTACCTTTCATTCGCACAGGAGATGCATCCTAAAAATATACAATATATATTATGTTAAACGCTAAGTAACTTTTAACTAAGTAATTAAGTAATTAGTCCATAACCAAAAATGATTCATCATACTGGAAAAACATTAACAAATTCAATAAATAAGATATATATTACATCTCTATATATAAAAATCAATTGCTGTCCGTTAGTCTCGCAAAAACTCGAAAGAGACTCGACCGATTTTGATGAATTTTTTTGTGTGTATTTGAGTGGGTCCCTGGATGGTTTAAAAACTCAGATCCAGAATCACGCGTGCAAAGCCGGGGCGGATCGCTAGTACATATATAAATATAAATAAAAATTCTAGTTTTTAAAAACTCCCTTTGTATTTAACTGTAATTAGTAAGTGTACTTCTACGAGTACTTTTCTACACTAAAGCAGAGTTATAAATACCTAATAAGAAATATTTAACAAGTGATTTTTTAAATTTACCGCGTTTTTATCATATTCTTGGATTATTGTGTCAATTTGAACCGTATTTAAAATTTCAATTTTCCAACTCATCGGGAAGTTAGTTTAAAATCAATCTATGGGCACAGCCGATTAAGGTGTTCCAAAAACAATAAAAAATCATTTACAGCCTATATACGTCTCTTGAGACATATATAGGCTGTAAATTAAAATAACAGGTATAATAAAAATCAATTAACAATTTCATTGGTGCCGACAGCCGCACTGTGAAATTTAAGAAAAGAGCCAAGCCCCTGAGCACTGCACCTACGAAGAGCTGTGTAGATGATTAGTATGGACATTTACCTGAAATGATACAGACATTTTCTTCATTAACATTGGATTGACTTGCGTGAAGTGGGCTGTTGTAACACCTTGCATATCCATAACACTCACACCACCAGCGACCACAAAGTTATCATCTTCCATTAATGTTATCTGAAATATTTTTTTTTGTTCATTCACTACAGGCTATCAAAAGTCTTAACAGGTAGGCCACGTTGGCAGGTGGGTTGGCAGCCGGATTTTTTTATTATTATTGAATTGTTATCTAGAAGATGCTGTTACATGTCGCCTGTCTCAGTTGCCCTTTATAGCTTTTTACGACACCCAGGGGATGATATGGGTAGGGGATTCTCTTAAGCCGTACTATATTATATCTGAAATACTATATATCTGTAATAGTTTATAATGGAATACTTTTGTTAAAGATAGGTTATAAAATGTTTTATATTAACATTTTTGTGCTAATGTATAAGAAATTAAAATAACTATTTATTTTCAACATAAAAAAAATTAAGCGGTTTATATACTGATATAATAAAGCGGAAGAGTTTTTATGTATTTTTGTTTGTTTTAAAACGCTAATCTCTGGAACTACCAGTCAGATTGGAAATTTATTTTTGTATATTATAGCCAGATTCATGAGTAATAGCTGTGGTAATAGTATAGGCCAGGGGTCACCAAATGGCGGACCGCCTTCCTGTCGTATATATTTTGTGTGGACTTAGAAGAATCTAACAATATCAATGTAAAAATTTGTGATAATTCAATTTTTTTCTGTTTAAAACTTCGGAAGTTCTATGCCAAGAATTTTGAATAGAGAAGAATTTGGTGTTTACCACACACTAATTTTATCCAATTTAAATAAAATTTTCTACAAAATTATAAATTTTTACTCCATCTAAAAAGTCTATAATACCATATGCCTATTTCTTATACATAAGGTACAAAAAACAAGGTACCAAAACAAGAATAAAACAAGGTACACAAGGTGACAAAAAATTATTGAAAATTAAAAAGTGATTTATAAGCGTTATAAATTAGGCAGATCATATTAATCCTTACAAATTAAGTTACTTCATCATCAAGATAATTTTATGAAGATAAACCTTGCTCTTTATAGCATGATATTTGGATGCATATTTTAAGACATAATGAAAAATTAATATATTTCAACACTAGACTCGGCGCGCGAACGACGCATAAACTCTAGCCACCCGATGAGAACTGAGAGAAACCAGCAGTGAATAATCGAGGTTAGTTCAATAATTTTAGTAATTTTATATATCATATATGAACTATGTAGAGTGAAGTTAAATTTTATCCACTCTCCTTCCCCATCCCGGTCGAGCATCACCTCCCCGCGCCCCAGTAAGTGTCCCGAATCGCAGTTTTATCCAGTTTAAAGAAAACGATACACGATACATGAAAAGCTTCTGTTCTGTTGTGTTAAGCGTGTAGGTACAAAATTTGCTAACAACCTCTTATACATACAAAAACGATATCACTTATAGTTTCCGCGCAATTTGCCACTAAATATGAACATTTTTATCATTTATAAATTTTTTTGCTCATATTTTAGTTTTCTCAAAAATTTTCCACTTTCCGCCAAGATATGTATGACTAAAGTACAGAATAGAATATGTTATTTAAATGTAAAAAAGTACGATTATAATATTATATACGAGGTAAAAGGTACGATTTATTTCTAAACTCTTTCATTTCACGTTGCTATAATATATTGTAAATTTTATTAATTCGGTCATTCAGCGAAATATAAATATTAGTATTTTAGCTAAAAAATGTGTTGATGAATGTGATGATGAATTTTATCAGCGACGATATTTTAGTTACGAGTCAGTCAATGCTACGAGGATCGTTCCATACGATAACCTGCAAGATCAATTGGCCTAAAGAGTAAAATGATACGTCAGAGGATAGCCTCACATAGGTGCAGAAAAAAAATACCATACAACAGTCGTCACTTTGGCATTATTATTGGAGGCGACGAAACAAGACGTCCTCGCTTCGGAGCGCGGTAGCGTGGACACTTCAGAGACAGGAGACATCATGCTTGTTAATAACTATGGAATTTAGGGATTTGGAGTACAATAAGTTGAGATGGGAAGAGTTGACAGGATAGTTCTACTGTCTAACTTGTAGGATTTATAGAAACTTTTGTTAACAACAAATGGCTTAATTGGGTAGGCAATGGCTAGCAGGACTTAATATACGTTTCGAAGTACCTGTTAAAGTTAACTTGAAAAACAGTCATATGGCCGACAAACCATTCAAGTAAGACAAAATAATAAATTAAATTATTTCTAGGAATGAATCTCAGTCCTACGGCACATGAAGTTAATAAAGTAAAGTAAAATAATGCAGGCTGCATTTCGTCCCACTGGTGAGTAGTGACGTTAGGCATATTCTCATTTATAAGGTTTTAGAAACAGGGAAAAGTTCATCGCACTACCTCAATGTATATTGGCTTTCATGAGCTCAAATAATTTTTAACTTCGCTGACACTCCATACTGACAGCATGATATTAAATCTCTGATTATTAAATCTCACAGATTTAAGGTGAGCGGCCAGGATCTGACCTAGATCAACAAGGAGTGCAATTAAGCAATAATTGTGAAATAACTCATTTATACATATATCACTCATTAAAACATTTTTATTAAAAACCGGAAAATACATACCTGTTGCATAACATAGGTGACGGAAATAATTTCATTTATAGAATACTTGCTGGGGTCGTATGCACCTAGTCTTAAGAGAATTACACGGGGATCGGTCGGATTCGAAGATTTTGGTAATACAATTGCAACACTAAAACGTGAGGTAATAAAGATTAACAGTTTATTACTTAAAATTTAAGATCCATAATATTAAACAAGCAATAATCGATACATTGCTAAAAAATTGTTTATAATGAGCAGTCACTAACAATGCTTAATGTTCTCTAAACTGAACATAGGCCTCCCCATAGATTGCCTCATAAGGAGATATTTGCTATAGTTGCCATGCATCTATGGCAGGTGGATCGGCAACCGCGAATTTCTATTTTACAGTTGTTATTAGTAAAACGCTGCTGCCTATCTCCTGTTTTGTTTCCCCCTGTTGCCTCTTACGACACCCACGGAACAATATTGTAGTGGATTGCCTACATGGCAAAACCGCCGCTACACTAATTTTTGAAGTTATATTTCTTTTGGTGCGTTGGGGAAAAATTATGAGAGTGAATTTTTTACGATACGCGCGCACACCGACAGCTAAAAACGACACCATGAAGTTGTTACGATGCGCGCGTACACTGACACCTCAAAGCGGCAACTTCATTGGGTAACGTTTCGTATGGTGAGTGTAAAATTGTTGTTTGCTCACAGTTGACAACGTATCTGCATTTTGATTCGTAGTTGAGGATAGATATAGATGTCTATGGGCCACAGCAAACACTTGCCATCAGTTGGAATGTAAGCTTGCTTGTCACCTTTATCCTATAAAAAATGTACTTAAAAACACTGTCAGACTTTCAAAACATACCCCAGATCGTGAATCTCCATGAACTTCGGGTCGGTGTGTTTCAACGGGCGTAATTCGGGAGCTGTTGTTCTAAGAGAGTAATATAGATCAATTTTCTGTTTTGTTCGTTCTATACTGAACTTACAACCACGTAAGAAGGCTGCAAGCCATTGATCATCTGTAATATAAACATATTATATTATGTAAAAATAAGGTTTTTTTTATATAAGTATATCAAGATGCAATGATTTCCGTGGAACAAATATGGTGCTAACAAATTGGCTGCAGCAGCAAAAGGTTGCCTTGACCAGGAGAAGACCACGCAATGACGAAAATGAGGAGCCCTATTTAGTGATAACGAGGAATTTCGATATATTGAAAATGGGCCAGATTAGGAGTACCCTTAACCGACGAGCGTGTATGCGTAGATATATGGATGTAAAGGAGGCGAGAGAGGTGTGTCAGGATCGCGCCAAATAGAAATCCGTAGTCTGTGCCTACCCCTCTGGGTGACAGGCGTCAATGTTTGTGTGTGTGTGAGAAATTTCAACTTAGAACCCAGAGGTGACTACAAGAAAGCAACTGTATCTTGATTCTTAATCGGGGGTATGTAATGATGTCTATAGGTCCCTGCGTCTACTTACTATCAGATGGACTAGGTGCTCGCTTGTTACTCTCTTTTGTAAAACAAAATACACACATGGCACGCGTGGCGTAGGCCGTGCGGCGACAGCCTAAGAGAAATTATCAAGTTTTGGTGGCAAAGGACAAGAAATATATCTTAAATGTATTAATATTAAAGTTACCCATCTTTGTTCTTACAAATGTATTGGTAATGTTGTCACATTTCTTATCAATTAAAATGAAAACTTTGAATTGATAAGAAATGTGCCAAAATCCTCATGTCTGATGTATGAAAATATTTCTAGTACGTATAAACTATGTAAAACAGGGCAGAGGACTCTTCTGACCGTCTTTAAAAACTGAGGCTAATACATTTTGGTAAGTTTTGTTTTTTAATTACCGCAATCTACCTAACAATTATACAAAATAATAAAAAATATATAACAAAAATTAAAAAAAAATACAATCATGTTACATTCCATAAGTGTCGTAAGAGGCGACTAAGGCAGAAAGATCTTATAGCCTCCGATAGATAGGTATATGAAACTATTTTTTTTTAGTTCTTTGCCTTTGTTTGGAAGACGACTTGGTTTTTACTTTTTGTTAAAAGTTATTTTTTCCCTGTTGAATGGATCAAGGAATGTCACAATAGCAATTTTATTTAAACAGTTGCATTAAAATCTGTATTCCCTATTATGGGTGCGATTCTTTATCAGAATTTATGTGTAAAGTATATACTATTAAAATCAAAAATAATCATCAAAATCGGTCCACAATTGATTATGATATCGCGTAATATACATACAAACGAAAACAGCGCAATAAAAATTTCCTCTTTTTCTGAAGTCGGATAAAAACTATTTAAACGAATGGAAATGACATATTATCTTTAGGAAAGTCACGTAATTGATATTGTTCTTTTTTAAGTTTACTATTTTGTTATAATTATTATTAGCGTTATTGATTTACCTCTCAGTTATACACCTACTTGTCAAAATCAGACTGAGAATATATTATATTTTTGCATTATACCTAGTAAGGTCATAAGTAATCCCAAACGTAAGCAGAAACTGTTGGCCCTTCAGAACCACGGTGAAAAGGGCGTTAAATGAAGACTTAGGGCATATCGAAGAAAAACAGGACATCGTTTGAATGCTCGTCTAATGGACCTGAGACTGAAGAGATGCCGCGCTTTGTTGAAGCGGTACGCGGGAAAAAAATATCGGGAAATTCTTTTTTCGGATGAAAAATTTTTACCGTAGAAGAGAGCTACGACAAACAAAATGATAATGTGTACGCACACAGTAGTGAAGAAGCGAGCAACCATATTCCGCGTGTCCAACGAGGTCATTTTCCATCCTGGCTCATGGTAGGGTTGGGAGTTTCTTTTTGGGGCTTAACAGAGGTACATTTTTGTGAGAAAGGTGTAAAAACGAATGCAGTTGTGTATCAAAATACAGTCCTGACGAACCTTGTGGAACCTATTTCTCATACCATGTTCAATAACAGGCACTGGGTATTCCAACAAGATTCGGCGCCAGCTCATAGAGCGAAGAGCATACAAGACTGGCTGTCGGCGCGTGAAATCGAATTCATCCGGCACGAAGACTGGCCCTCCTCCAGTCCAGATTTGAATACGTTAGATTACAAGATATGGCAACACTTGGAGGAAAAGGCGTGCTCAAAGCCTCATCCCAATTTGGAGTCACTCAAGACATCCTTGATGTCCCATTGCAGCCGCTGATATTGACATGAACCTCGTTCGTGCTGCGATAGAAGACTGGCCGCACAGATTGAAGGCCTGTATTCAAAATCACGGAAGTACATTTTTGTGAGATTTTGAATAAACTTTAGTGTCATAAGAATCTATGTTTTGTTAAGTTCATTTTGGTATATAAATGGTTACATAATGAATAAACTTGTTTCAATTATTTTATATTAAACATGTGACAGAATTTATGTATATACAGGGTTATTTTTCAAAGAGTAGCCAAATTTTAAAGTTATGTTGAAATATATAAATAATGATATGCCGTTATTGCAGTTTTTAAAAATATGAGTAAATTAGGCTTCTACTTTTATTTGAAATTATTCCAAATTTAATGTGATATAAGGGCAACAACGTTTTTGCCTACCAACCTCAGTAAAATCAGTCAAAATAATACATTACCACGCATTTAGAATTTAAATGATAAAAAAGAAGAGATTTTTTATCAATTTTCTAAACCATTTGACTATATTACTTCTTATTCTGAACCTTCTCTGCAAATTTGGTCGGTTATTGTAAAATAACCCTGTATAAAAGAGAATAAGACTTTTGTACCTGAAGTTAACAAATTGATTATCCGAACATTATAGTATTAATAGTCTGGTACTTTAAATGACTTATTTCATTTGTTTTAGTTTTCACACGTACCTGTACGCGCCCTCAAATGCGGTTGCTTAGATATCCATTCCTTCAAATGCTGCAAACTGTCCTCTAATTTCTGTGGATCTTCGTTCAGTTCTTCACTTGCTTTTTTAGCCAACTCGGCAGATAGAGGTCGAACTGGCATCTTGTTACTGACTAGCGTGTTTACAAACAAAAATGTATATTATTAACATGTCTTTGAAAAAACGAACACTTTAACAAACAAAATAAAATTACCAAAGGCGTTTTAAACTAATATATTTAGATTACAACAACGATATCGCTGCTTGTATGAAACCACTAGCTGATCAAGATTTCCTAAAGTAAAGACCATAGATTAATAAACACACCTTAGATATGATTACAACTAAAGTGATATTAATTATATTTCTTCATTTGCTCATATTCCATTCGTAGATAAGTATTTCAGATAACAATTAATTTTAGTTCCGAATTTTGGTAAGCTAAGCAAGATACAAGAGAAAGAAAAGAAGGAAAAATTTTATTAAATTTTTTCACTGATCACACTAACTAACTATCATATTAATGCCATTTTGTAAGTGAATTTGAAATTACTAGGAATTAAAGTAGCGATTAAATGAAATTTTTACCCGTAATTTTTTAATGCTGCCCGTAATGACGTATATTTGAACAATTCCTGTTGTCGATATAAAACTTTAATATTTATGTACTTGGCCGTTTCTTCACATTAATATTTTTGGTGGAATATCATTATTTTAATTTTTGAAAAAAAAGTTTTTTTTTTCTAATTAGTCTAAACAAATACTAGACCTCCAACGGCTTTTCTTCCGTTTACGCTTCACTGTTTTCTTTTTCTTTTTAAATGTCGGCTTGGTTAGTTTGTTGTTTCAGTTTTACAATAACTTACTTACAGATTTTTGGCGTCGAATACTGATAATTTAAGTTTCTGATTTTTTCCTTTGTATAAACCTTTTCAGACCTTAATAAACCTAACAAGCTAACAGCATAGCAAAGTGGCGAAGCAATCAGCTTTGTAGCGGTTTCTAACGGTTGCCGTTGAGCAATCAGTTTCAAAATAGGAGGTTCAGATGCCTGAGTGATCAGTAATCGATTGCTGAGAACAGAATTTGAAAATTCAAAACCGTTCTCGAGATAATCGTGGGACAGACGGACAGACGGACAGACATCGTGAAATCAATAAGTGAATTCGCAAGCTTCGCCACTTAATAACTCAAGAACTACAATGATAATGTCCTCCAAACCGAATTTTTGTCACGGCGCGGCGGCCAGCTTCAGCGGAGACTAGCCATTTGAGCAGGACGAGATTGTAGTGACCAAGTCTATACTCAAGCACAGGTTCACTCTCCATTCTCTCACTCTCATAGTCCGATGAAACGGTAAACCGACCAGACTGGAAAGAGATCAGGTGTAGAACCAACGCCTTTTCGTGCTTTCCGAGGCACGGGGAGTGAGACACCGCCAAGTTCTTTCTTGGCTCTGTGTACCTACTGAGAATTTCTTGACAGAAAAACTCGATAATTTTTATTATTAACTAAGTTGTAACGTATTGCAGCCGCAGAAGAAATTATTGGGGAAATATCGTTTTAAATATGAAAGAGATATTTTGTTTAATAAGGAATGATATATAACTTTCATATAAATTTGTCGGTACGATACGCGTGCCACCTGTTATAAGCTAGTTGTACTATGCCTATAATCCAACCAAGTGCAAGCAATAAGTTGACAAAATTTTTCCGCAATCTGTTGAACCGTATTACACCACATAAAGTACGAATATACAAACTAACATAATTTTTATATATTATATTATTATTATTATTAATTTCATTCCTATTTTAGACAAGTCTTAGATAATATAATAGATATTAAAAAGATAAATAGTAGGATTAAGATACTGGATAAATTCTTATCATAGTACATAGAAACTTATATACATATAAACAAAATTTAAATTGTTTATATGTATATAAGTTTTTATTTATTAATTTCAAAACATTTTCATGCTAAAGAAAGTCATTATGATATATTACAATTTAATCCTGCAGTTTCTACCAGACCTACTACAAAGGGAAAACTGAATACTGGATACACTATTGCAGTATTTGGAGAAAATTGCTAGCGATTTTTTTATTTTTATTGTTTTGAGAATGTTACATAAATTAGGTCGGGAAAAAAATTTCTTCGTATTTTTATACAAATTCAAGACATTTTTTTTTCAAAGTTTAATTATTTAATTGCAATATATATATATATATATATATATATATATATATATATATATATATTTACCCGTTGCTGTAGAAATCTAGGGATTTTTGAACAAAAAAATGCGATATATAGTTTTGACAGTCCTCTCTTGATGTTAACCTAACACTACCCAAAGAATTCTGAAGAGACCGAAACAGGACTTTCAAAACTTTGTGCCTCGGGTTGGAGCTTGCGTGAACGTCAGAGAGGACCTCTGTTCTCGACGCCTCTGCAGTCTTGAAGGTTCGGACCTGTCCATCCTTTGGCAGCGATGACCATCAGCGTGTTTATGGGTGCCTTTATAGGTCCCATAGCTGTAATGCCGAAACAGACCGACTGTCCAAATGGCTACAGATAACAGATCCTTGCTACAACAGATCCCATCCGCAGAGATAGTGATCCTTGGCGATTTTAGCGCCCACCACGCCGAATGGCTCGGTTCATGTTTAACCGATCATGCGAGGAGATCTGTTCATGATTTTGCCTTGGCATATCCATGCCATTCCCGCTGAAATCGCGGTTGCTTTCTGCAGACTGTCGCCGTGTTTGGCCTTTCTGGCTTTCTGGCTCCTTCTTTCGCCTTTCAGGCCGCGAGCTTATAAAAATGGGGAGAGGAGATATTTATTTGGGTGCAATGCTGCGTAAATCCAATAATCCCCAAAATCAATAATCTAGGGGTGGGATAAATTATATTCAGTGATCACATTATCGCTACATCAACATCAACATCAAATACTCCTTGATGCCGCCGAAAAATACATCATGACATGCGTGAGCTGTCTATCCGCCGTCCGAACAGGGGCTGGCGGACCCCGGCTCTGATAGCTAATTCGTATCGTTCGATGTTCTGGGCGGTGAGAACCGCCCAGGGACGCGATGTGGAGGGGTGTGCGGCGCGCCCGTCTGCGGACTCGATGCGTCCCATATCAGTGTTTGTGGCACTAGGTGAATGTGTAGTGTTTGGGTGTGACTGGCCGGCGACATTTTGGTCGTCGGCATCTAGCGGAACAGGGGGTTCGATTAGAACGTTGCGGGGCCTTCAGAGGGTTAACGTAACGTTCGGAGTCGGAGCGTAGGTGGCTGCGTTTACCACTAGCGGGTTTGGGTGCTTCTCGGCCCTCTCAAAATAGCGCCAAGACATTTCCTTAAAGTATTCAGAGATCGTCGGAAGTTGACAGTCCCTGTGTAAGTCAGAATACTATTACTTAGTAAAATCGCTGGGTGTCCCTCCTCGCGGCAATTGACGCAGCTCGGGGGTTCAACCGTCTCAGGCGTGCGGGGGCAGTCAGTGGTGTCGTGGTCACCTAGGCACTTGACGCACCTAGAACTGGTGTAACAATTTTTGGCCGAGTGGCCGTACATTGGCATTTGGCATCGGTAGCACTAGACAACGATGCCCTTATGTCTGGGGGCTTCAACTGCAATCCCCGTTAAGTTGCAGATGCGCCGAACGTTAAATATTTAATTTCCTTCCGGAGATAAGTCCAGAATGACCAGGCATAAATCTAAAAAGCGTTTCTTGTCGGTCTGGTGGTGCATTCTATGCACCTCCCGAACCAGGAGATTTTGGGCTTTCAGGTATTTTAATATGTGCTCAGTCTCGGGCTCTTTGGGGAGACTGCGGACGACCACACGAAACACTGGGAGGGCGTATGTGTGGAAGCTTATTTGCTGGGCACACAGGTAATTTATGACACTGCGAAATTCCTCGGTATACTTTACGAACATATGAATGTCTTGTCGAGCGTTTTGCACCTTAGGGCTATAGATTCTTTTGGAGTCCAACCAGTATGATAGTTTGCTCCATTTTGTTTTGTCTTGAATGATGATGGGAGGCGGCGGCTTTTCCCTACGTTTACCCATTTGCCGCGGGCTTGACCGCAAGCTTGGTGGCTGGGTTTTTGGCCGGAGTGCCGGTGGGGGACGAGAGGGCCGAGCTAGGCTCAGCTGCCTTTTTTGGGGCAGCGCGTTTGCGCTTTTTGACTTGGACGAGGATGAAGCCTTCGTCTTCGGGCTTGCGCGTTTCAGTCTCCATGTTGGAGTCTGATTCGGCATCCAAGAAGACCTGAAACAGGCCGCGGGTGGACATCGCGGAAGGCGCGGGGGACTCGGCGTCGTAGAGTGTGTCTATGGACACGGAAGTCGTAGGTCCGGTGCTTGGCGAAAAAGGGTCGTTAATCCGCACAATCTGACGGTCGGCAGGGGGCCACACATGCTGGGTAGAAAGGCCGGCTAGAAGGCGCGGATGTGGATTCGGGCGCTGGATGCGCGTTGCGCTATGCGAGAAACACAGCCCAAATATCGGGGCAGGCACGACTGAAAAAGTCGGCGAGTTCGTAGATCGTTATCGACGTCATCTTGTTTGTACTACTAGACAGCACGAGTGTGTGCCTAAAAATAACACCTATATACCTAGGGCGTAGGTACGTACGTACGTAGGGTGTTACCTAGCTCTTGCTTAATGCAACAAGCAACACAAAAATTAAAAACGATGGCCGCCTCTAAGGCGGCGGGTGTGTTCTCTACTAACGGTTGCCCAGGCCAGTACCAGGAAGCCAGGAAGGAGAGTTACGCACAAACACACTTTGCACCACAAGCTTCTGATACACTTCACTACAACACAGTGAGACTACTGTCTCCCGGGACAGCGTGCTTCGCGCACTACAGGGAGCACACCAAGGAATCAACCAAACACAGAGCACCAAGTCATATGGCGTATTTCGGTGAACAAAGAAAAAAAAAGATAATTCATGCGCACGGGCAATGAGAGTGGAGTGACGGGAGTGAACTCACCAACACGTCCAGAGTCTACCACTGAAACACTCTCTGAACCGTTAGTAGTAGTTAGACTGTGGTAGTTGTCGGGTCAGTGGTTGCCGGCGTTACCGTAACAAC